GTATATAAGACAGTAAAACTACCTGGCAAAAGTCGCAAATAAGAGAGGCTCTTTACTGTGACCATATGCTGCAATCAGTTGAAAATATTTCTTCCTACATTATGTTTAGCTGTCAAAAAAAAACCAAATTCTTAAACATCTATTTAACTTCAGCATGCTACCCATTTGGTTCATAATGTAATTTGATAGTAATATCAGTACCCATAAATAATAGCGTTAAAGAATTTCATAAATATGAAATGATGGGTTGTTCCCTAGAGGTCAAATAGGGCTGAAAAAATACAGCCCATCACCACTTGTAATTCATGAAGCACCCTCCTGTGAATGACATTTATATCCTATAGAAGAAAATCACTGATTTACAAAGAGTAAAGAAAAAAGTTCAACCTAGCTAAGATCAAGTAAAATAAATCATTATGTACTTTCCTATTAACGACTCAGGGTAGGAGGCATTATACATTAAAACTCGGGTGCAGATATCTGATCATTAAGTGAGCTTCACAAAGTGTTTTCTGTGTGGCAATTATCTTACTTGATTTTTCAGCAGTAAATTCCTTGAGATCTGGTGGCAGAGATAAAGAAGGTTTGGTATTTATTTGAGTCCTTCCTGAGCAGCCCTGCTGGCATAGTAGAGAAATGTTAGGCTGCTAACGAGTAGGCCAGCAGTTCGAATCCACTGACTGTTCCTCAGGAGAAAGGTGATCTCCTGTTATGATTTCTATCCTCCCAGACCCAATAGAGGGTCGCCAGGAGTCAGGATAATTGAGGATGGTAGACTCCTGACCCAAAGGTGGTGGCTCACCGATAGTTTTGATCAACCATTGACTCCACTGGAAAAAGATGGGCAGTCTCCTCTCCTGCAATTTACAACATCCAGAAAATCCACTGCAGGACCATCTCTCAGTTGATTCTAACTCAGTCATTTGCAGTGAGATGATGTTGAAATATCAAAGAGTTGGAACCAACCCAGAACTCCAGTTGGATTTTCCAAGACATTCATCAAGAATATAATGTCCATCTCTCTCCCACAGAGCAGCTGGGGGATTCTAACCATGTACCTTTGTGTTGGCAGCGCAGTTCCTTACCACTAAATCACCAGTGCCCCCTAGAGACTATGAAGATGGGGCTGGATTAGTCTAGGCTTTCTGTTGTGCATGTTGTGGGTCTTTATGGTCCGGCCCAGCTAGACAGCACCTTGATGTCACAATATCACCAAGTTCTGAGGAGCCCTAGCAGAGCTGTGTGTTGAATGCTGTATTCTAATAAAATGGTCACTAGTTCAAGTCTACTTCTTGTTTCATGGGAAAAGAATGGGAAGTTCCCTCTTATAAAGATTTCTAGATTTGAGGGGAGCGCTGGTGGCCTAGTGGCAAGAAGCTGCAACTACAATCCCAGAGGTGCATGGTTCAAATCCACCAGATGCTTTGCCGGGGAAGGAGGGGCAATCTCCTCCTGTACCAGTCAGATCTGATTTGACGGTACACGCACACAAAAATAATAAAATAAAATAAAATAAAAAATATTTAAAAAAAAAAGATTTCTAGATTTGGAAACCCAAAAGAGAGTCACTATGAGTTAGAACCAACTTTTTTACAGCAGTGAGTTTAGGATGTTAAGATCTGACTCCTCACAGTGAGCCCAAGGGTTAAGTATTGTCCTTCACATTTATATGAGAAAGGTTTGCCCAACATGACTGAGCTAATCAGGAACAGCCTCCCAACTTAAAGACTCCGAAGCCAGTGTGTGCTCTCAATACAACAGTATTGTGTGCTAATTACAAAACAAACACCACAGGGAGCTTGCTTTTACTTTTTTCATTTGAACCCTGGAATTTAACTCGATAGTGTAGACATAAACTAATATGAACTGTTGCAAGATAAAATTGCTTCCTTTTCCATATCTCAGTTGCCTTGATATCATATGATGAAGGATAAAGATTTCACATCTGCTTTTTTAGAACGTTTGTGTTTCAGTATTAGGACATTACGCCTTTAGAAAGCCCACCATGAAACCTGGAAAACATATTTTGGAAAGAGAAAAAAAAAACCAACCCAACAAAACAAACCCTATGTGATGATGCATTGCCATCCTCTGGTCTTCTGTAGCCATTTCAGCGTTGAATGCCAGAGACTTACCTGCACCCCACTCTCCATGGTCTGCTAACAAAATCAGACCACCTGCTGCTAAAGTGGCTGACTTCCTCAAAGCAGTCACATACTTTAGTGTCCCTCAGGGTTCCAGGTCTGTAATGCTAGATCATTTAAAGAGCAGAGGAAGAAAAGCAACTCTGTGAAAACCACCCTTCACTGTATCTGCCTATTTCACTGGCAGAAACAAGTTTTGCAACTATTTGCAGAAACACTAGGATTTCAGATTAATTAGCTCTCTGGCTTTAATGTAGCTAATTCCTGATGACAGTAAATGTGTTTAATAAGACATATCCATTAATGTCCCAAAACTTCTAAAAAAAATACGTACAGGAGATGACCATAAATGTCGACATTTCTAAACATCTTCGTTTTGGTTTTCTGCCTAAATGTTTGTATAATTGCGTTGAGTTCATCCTGCAGAAGATCCTTTTTCTGTGTACGATAAAGATTGTTCCATTTTGGGGTCCCAAAAAGGTTTGGCAAAATGTACAACTAGCATAACTTACCACAGCAGTTGAGCTAAAGCTTTTTATAGTGGAGAAAATACAAAATGGAAAATTCTCATCTGAGTCAGTTCCAGTGATTAAAACAAAATTGCGTAAACATCTGCTGTAAAGCCTGTGGATTATTTATTTGCCCCTCATACTTATGTTCTTTGATATCAAAGCTAAGTTGAATAAATCACTCAGTGGAGAAATGGCATGATTAGGAAGATTGATGATGTTTATATATGCATTTTAGAATTATTACTCAGATTCATTCACTTGACAAATATCTGAGTTCCTGCTTTGTAAGGAGCAAACTCTGGTAGTGCAGTGGTTAAGCACTGAGCAGCTTACTGAAAGGGTGGCATTTCATACCCTGCCAGTCACTCCAAAGACAAGAAAGATGTAGCAGGCTGCCTCGTTAAAGATGAAAACTGAGTCAAACCTAATGCTGACCTTCCACTGAGTGTTTGATACTGTGTTTTTATAGGTGAAGGAGGTCCATCACTCTCCTGCAGAGCAGCTGGTGGCTCTGAACCCCTGACCTTTTGGTTAGCAGTCTGACACATTATACACTATGCCTTTAAAGATGACAGGCTATGGGACTATTCCACCCTGCCCTACAAGGTCACTGTGAGTTAGGGTCCACTCTACAGTAATGGATTATTGCGTGAGGCCCTCTTCTTTGCACAGTCATCAAATTTGTGTTCTTTCTTGCACTGTGATTTTATAAATTACATAATTAATTATATGGATTTGTATCTGAATAAGGCTACTCCAAATATTTATTGAAAATTCTATTTCTTCTCTTGTCATCTCACATGGAATAATAACTTTCTGAAAATATCTTTTTATTTTAAAACTAAATTAAGGACAATATCTCATGCATATTAGAACAGTAGTAAGATTTTTTTCCAGTTTAAAATCAATGAAAAATTTCTTCTTTACATAATATTTAATTGTCTTTTAATATAAAACTAAAAGCAAATGTTCTTATACACTAAAAATTTATAGCGTTTGAAAGAGATATATTAATAATTGTGTTGTTTCTTTATATTAAACAATTATACACCAGGTGTGTTCACTTGCCATACAGAGGTAACTTGTGGTCGCTGTGAAACTGAACACTGTGACACTGATGTGTCAAATGTAATAATGGTTACCCATGGTGGACAGTGGTGGCACTCCCCTGTTGAAACAAGCTTGGAAGCAGGAGTGGCATCCACTTCGTAATAGCTTGACTCTGGAAACCCTATGAACCTGGAGAAAGGATGAAAGTCACGCACGCAAATGTCGAGGACGCTAGTTCATAGGGTCGCTATGAGTTGCCTACAACTCGACGGCACTTAACAGCCACACCACACATACTTACAGTATGCTAATTAAAGTCAATCAAATTTTTAGAAGCTAATAGCATTGCTGAAAATTTTTGCCTTGTAATTATTATGTTGAACAGATTTTTCAAGCATCTTTTAGGTGGATCAAACTTGGATCCTCTGATAAATTCACACAAAAACACATATATACACTAGTATTTTATAATCTGGTTATATTTTATAAAATGAGCATTTCAAAGATAATGGTAATGGTTATAAAACATAATAAACATCATTGAATGTGTGTGTGTGTGTGTGTGTGTATATACATATGACACAAGAGTGGCATCCACTTCCTAAACAACATGCCTCTGGAAATTCTATGAAATTTGATGAATGATAATGGTTGTGGAAGGGCTTCAGGCCTTTTATTCCTTGGGTTGCTGTGAGTCATGCTTGACTTGACGGCAATCAACAACAACATACCATTGAATTGGCAAATATTATGTGTTTTTTACCATATTTTTTAAAAAACATCAATATTACAGAGGACTAAAGTATGAGTAATTGCTAAAAACCTGTTAAGGCAGTAAAGTAGGTCTAAATTTAGGATAGTAATTTTAGTCAGCATGTCAACATAATGTAAATTGATTAAAAACCATTTCTCCAAAGTTAACCTCAGATCTACTTTTGTTACTGATTTCAAACCTTGTTTAAACTTTTACCTCGGTTCTCTGGTGTACACAAGCACACAAGCATCTCCATTAGCTTCAAATATAAATGATGGGTAGGAAAGTCTTACTTTTGTCTAGATCATTAAGTTCAAGCACCCTTTTAACTAAAAGGGAGAAAAATTGCCTCAAAAAATGTCATCCTAGACACTTGAAATCTCATGTGCTATCTGGGAAATGGGGCAACGGAATGGCTGGACTACACTTTTCTCTGGCAATCTTTTGTGTAAGCCAGAGCTCTTTCTGGTGGTCTTGTGGGCGCACGGGGGTCTCTGCTGAGTTGATAATTCATTTCACACATTTGCACCTGCTCTGCAGCCTCACCGAGAGGGCGCAACTGCTCAAGAACGTCTTTAAGAAGAACCACGTGAACTTGTACCGCTCAGAATCCGTCCAGCAAAACCTGCTCCGTGAGTATTTGAGTTCTTCTTTGTCAGGAAATCCTCTGTTGTTCCTTTAGCCTGTCATTGAGCTGAGTCATATTTTCACTCCAGGGATCTAAAACAATTTCAAATGCGCTCTTAGATCAGGTTTTAATGATTTGAAATGCATTGCATAAATAACTGATGGCTAGCAAATGCGTCTACCGTGGCTGTCTAATTTTTGGCCTAAAGGACAGGACACTTAAAAATCGTGTTAGTTCACCCAAAAAAAGCAAGAATATTTCCACATGCCCCTTTGCCTCCTCATGTCTTGGGGGTGAGGTGGGGGGAAACAACCAGTAAAATAAACCTTAACTTATAAGCTGCCTTTGTGCTGTCATCCTTTCCCCTTGAATAACTGCTAGAGCTTTTTCAGCTTTTATACAACACACTGAGACATACTTTCCCCTTCAAAAATATTTGAAGAAATTATTACATATCACCCCCTCTTTACATTTCAATATTCTGAAAGAAGGATATCTAAAGTCCTATAATAAATTTACTTGTTAGTCATATCTTTTGTTTCATGTTGTTTCCACATATAATTTGTTTTGATTTATAGATACTCACATCTAATGCCTTTGCCCTTTAAGCTTCCCAAGGCCTTCTTTAGATATGTGACTCAGAAACTGAGTTAAAATCTTGGATGCTGTCCCCCTTGGGGGTCTTTTCTCATCCACACAGCCTGTCTAACCATGTTGCGGCATCCATGGGTTTCTTTGTAGATTCTGGGAGCCAAGAAAAATGGCAAAATAGACGACCATTTTCCGCTTTTATCTCTTCCTTCTCATTTTCTTTTCTCGCCCCTCCTCACTCCACCTAACATGGATGGCAACATGTCTGCAACTCAGTAAAATGCACTCACCCCGCTCTAATGAGAGCGGGCGAGAGGGAGATGGGTTGAACATAACACAGTGAACAGAGAACTGAGACTGATGAAGGGTGTTCATTCTTAGGAACCTCTTGTCCCTCCACTCCCGCCCATGCAGTCGAGCCTGTATTCCTTCCAGACACTCAAAATAAGAATCTTCGTACTTCTGAAAATGGGACAAGCGGCGAAACTTTCCCAAGTTAGAAATGAATGTTTAAAACTCAGAATAATAGGGATTCATAACCACTACATGACAGTCATTTCTATTTCGTTGTTCACTTCCAGATGGGTATGCTTTCTCTCAAGATGAAAATGGAATCGTCTCACAGTCCGAAGTGATTAGAGCGTATGATACCACCAAGCAGAGGCCGGATGAGTGGTGATGGGGAGTGGCCGAGAAGCAGGCTGTGTTACATCTCTAAGGCTAGCTGCCGAGTCTTCACTGGAATCTGCTGACCACGTCCAGGCTGGTTCACAGAAGGGAAAGGTGGATCTGAGCTCATCTCCTTGATCGATATTCAGATTCATGTATATTATAGACATAAGCACTGTGCAACTATACTGTAACACCATCTCTTTCAGATTTCTAAAAGTATTTGCTAAGTCTTTGTAAACAGAGATTGAAAATGACCCTTGTGTCTTGCCAGAGTGCTTCTGAAATCGAGGCTAGGTCAGTATTCTTGCTCCGGGCCTGTCACTGCCTGTCAGTTTATTGAACCTGCCATGAGGTGGCCAATCATTAGGGAAAAAAAAGATTCAGATGGTATTAAATTAAATGGATGTTATCCAGACTTAGATTTCAGGATAGGCTGAGAATAAAATAAAAAACCAGCATTCTCAAGGAACTGACTCACTTTACTGAACAAAATTTCTAAGCAAGGCATTAATAAATTTGTGCATTCATGTGTGTGTCAAAATATGTCTTGATTAATGTTTGCCAAAGAAGCTCGATAAGTGTATTACTCGTCCAGTAGCCATTTGCCCAGAAATTTAAGAGAAAGTTTACTTCCACTTCTGCCATGCAATCTGCATGCTCAACTTTTCAAATGTGAGAGTGATTTGCAAAAAATGAGTGTTTCAAGGCATTTGCTACTAAAATGTGTGATGTTGCACCTTTGGCCTTACAAATGCTTCTTCCTCGTCTGTCTTGTTCGTTTGCCGTCAAGAGTTAGCACACATGTTCCTGTGATGTCGTTTTGTTTCAGTACCGATGTTTTAAGGTTATATCTCTGTCTCTTAGTCCTTTCTGATGTAGTTTGGTTGTCATGTAGCGTTTTCTGAAAATCTCATTTCTGCTGTAAGTTGAATGGTGTTATTTTTAAGATTTTTTTCCCTCCTGTGAAGAAAAATATGTTACATATTTATGTGGGATAATATATATAATATACATATTTCATTACATATTTCATGGATGTTTAGAATAATGTGTTGGATAAATGCATGGGCTTTTGTCCTGTACATAGGGTCCGCTATGGTGATGTGTTTTGGTTCTCATTTGTTCCCCGCTAAAAATGCCTGCTGTCTTATGTAGCACGTCCCACATTGTAGTGACTGGCCCTATCCTGAAGACTAGAATCCTTTTACAGCTCATATGCCAAGCAGCTCTCAAAATTTGCCCCCTGCTGCTCAATGGGACAAAAAAGACATTTCCCCCATTTTGAAAACTTAACTAATTTCCTCAAGCCTACAACTTTATAGTCAATCAACATTTTTCATTCTGACTGGGTTTCATTAATAAACTTTAAAATGGACATATCATTTGATTACTCTGGGTGTTTCCAAGACATCTGGGAAAAAAATGTCTATTTTGCTATCAATAAATGGTGAAGGGGCTGTTTAAAAAAAAATCACAACCCATTTTCTACACTATTTTTTAAATACTGCTTTCATTTAAAAAAGGGGCGGGAGGGATTCTACTTTTCAGATACAATTCAGAGATTGATGCAAACTTCTTGCCTTTTATTCGAAAGCCTGTTTGCCTTTAAGTGGACTTACCAGCATAATAAGTAGTAAAAATTCCTCTTGAAATAAAAGAAGAACTGGAATTGAGGGGTGGTTTCCCACATCATCCCTTGAGATGAATAACTTCACATTCTTTTATGCCCTTCTTGATCTAGTGTTAAAAGTAGGAATTCGGATCTACATAATTTCCTTTACTGGATTGTGGGTTGTGGAGCTACTTCTTTGCCTCCTCCAGGAAGCCTTGGTGGCATTGTGGTTAAGTAGCTTGGCTGCTAACTGAAAAGGCAGCATTTGTAAGTTAGCTGCAGCTCCTGGAGAGAAAGCGGTGGTAGTCTATTTCCGTAGAGTGCAGCCTTGTTGCTGTGTATTGGAATCAACTCAATAGCAGTGGATTTATGTCCTCTTCCCCCCACATTTCCTACAAAGAAGAGCAGTTATAATACAGACATGGCCCCAACCTAAAGGGGAAAAGGAATTTGTATTACTTCCTTCACTCCCCAGGCCCTTCCCATTTTGGGTTCGCATTAAAAGAAGTGTGAGTCAGAAGAGCTCGCAAGACTGATCACGGTAGAATCTAAGGCCATCCTCACAGACCTAGTGCCTCTCCGAAATAGCGTGGCTTTGTCTGTGCTCCTCTTAGGTGGCAGGTGAGGTCAATGCAGAGAATCCCAAAGCAAGAATGAAGTCCATCCCTGCAGAGAAGACTCCACCATCGTCCTGGTGTTACAGAAAAGAGCTCGTTCCATTTGCCCTCAGTGCCTCCTTCTCCAAAATGTTAACATTGCAGTGCTGTGCCTGTACTTAGATTGAATTTTCTAAGTCAAGAAAATAAAAATTACTCTTTGTTTTTTTTTTACTTAAAAGCTTGGGTTTCTCCTGAACTCTTTACCATGACTGGGACCCTCATGGTTGAGTATGTAAGATCTTAAAGGGAATGGAGGAGAGGCTCCTCCTTGATAAAATGTAAAACTACATGTTTCATAAAAATTTAGTTAAATAAAAAAAAGCCAGAAACCCTGCATTGCAGTCAGTGACTTGATGGTGTAAATTTAAATGAGAGAAATCCTACTTGTGTTTCACCTCCCTAAGGGGTAAAATGCAACACTATTTTATCAGGATTGAAATATGCAGCTGACGTGACTTTTAGTGAGTATTTTTTAAAATAAAGGACACCCTCCCACTTCAGTCAGGTCAATTCAAACTTAGAGTAACTCTGTGAGACAGGCTGTAAAACTTTACAGAAGTGAATGCCATGGCTTTCTCCCACAGAGAAGTTGATGGGTTCAAACGTGCTGCCTTTAGGTTAGCCCCTGAGTTTATTAACCACCATACTACCAAAGCTTCCTAATAAAGGACAAGCACTCTTCACTTAAGAAGTCCCTTATAGGGACTCTGGCAAATGCTAACACCATGCTTTACCATGTTTACAATTGAGAAAGTATCACTTCCTATAGAAAATTCTCATTCACTTAGCATTGAAAAGCTGGGAGTTTCTCCTTTAATGTTGAGTAGTGCATAGTGGTATGGAGCATGGTCTTTCTAAGTGTTCTGTATATACAAATAGAGATATATTGGTGGCTCACACCAAGAAAGAGACTATATGGTAGAAATTGTGAGCAGGAAAACAGTATTTCTCAGGAAGGTAGTGAATTTGAAACGATGCATGTGCATCTTACCCTCCCACCCCCATTCTGTGCACTAATACGAGACCACTTCAGCGATGTTCTAGCTTAAAGGGAAACTTGTAATCTAGACAAGTCTGCTTGTGTTCTGCTAAGTAATATTAGCCCTTATGTGAATCATGTGGTCCTTAAATGGAATCAGAGATTCCTGTTAATTTCCAAGGGAAAATCGTGTTAGAAAAGTCAATCAGCATTTATTCTGATCATTAAATTTTATATTTCATTTTATAGTTCAGCATTCTAAATATCCTGCATGAAAGCCACATAACCATTTGTTCTGCATTGTGTGCAGCATTTTGTATTTTGTTTTTTTCGGAAGTGAATGCTTGTCAAAAGTGATTGATTGTATGTTCATAGTTTTTCATTTATTTATTAACAGTGTCATGATTATTACAAAGCTAGCTAAGTGTTAGTGTTTATTTCTATGCTATTTCCCTGTGATTGTTCTTGGTTTTAAAACTTATTTCATCAAATTAAGTAAAATTTATTAAGTGAATGCCTACCCTATTTACATCACATGGAACAGGGCTTGGGGAGTTCTCTTTGTAAATTACTTAACACCATGCAGTTTGGTGCCTAATAAATGCTTTTTAATGATAGATGTTTCTATAATGCCTCTTAAAGATACCGTAGTCTGATTTTTCTCACATTAAAATAATTAATGTCACTTGTGAAACTTATACTGTGCTACATTTTAATTAACCTTCAACAGCTATTAAAATGGACTGCAAGTTACATTTTGAAGGAAAGGAAATGAATGTTTTCCATTTTTTTGGTCTTGATTTATTTTCTGTATGTGAGCAGCTGTGTTTCTGATGGGTTTATGGTTTGCATGAATTAATATTTAAAAGTGATCTAGGCCAAAGCATGGCAATTGCTGTAAATCTTGGTGTTCATTTCTGCCTCCTTCTAAATTCTGTCATGGCTTACCTAGAATTTAATATTCAGTGGACAAATTAATTGGTTTTTCCACAACTTTTTTTGCAAGTAAATTATTTTACAAACATATTTGAACAAATGTAATTGAATTTTTTGTTTTGCTTGCTGCTAAAGATTTTCCCCCCCATTAATAAGACTCAAAGAACTTCTCTGAAAATCTCTCTTTTGGGGGGAAGCTAGATTTTGTATGTGCTTGCTTTGAATAGCAGCATCTTTCCTAGGTAAATCTTTTGGAAGGATGAGCTGAACATTTAAAAAATAATAAACATTGTTTTACATCTCCTGGTTCTAGAGTTAGAAGCCATATATGCAATAAGTACTGTTTGTCAGTTTTGTTTAACTACATCATTTTTCACATTTTCATTTGTATTAAGTTTAAAAAAAATAAGCCTCGGAAGGCAGCTACTGTGGAAAACTACAGTTTGCATTAAAGATAAAAGTAGTATTTTCAGTTCCGTGAAAAACCACTCCTGCTGAAACTGCTGTAGACATTTGTGAAGCCGCATGAGTGAAGCATTTGGAGTCTGTGATTATAGTAGTTTCCTCAGGTTTGTTTATCTCAATGTTTGATGCACTGTGTTTTATTAATAGATAATAATGTTGAGTAACATTCAGTTCTTCTATGCAGTGTTATGTGTCATTGGCCTTTTGTGAATATGCATGTTTTAAACTGCGAATTTTAAACATTTTGTCCTTTGTTATCAAACATGAAATAAACTTTACCATTACATAAAGAATATTGTTGAAGTGTTGATTGCTAGCAAATAAAAATTGCTTAATAAAACCTTCAAAACCCTGAT